TGTTGATAGCAGATGCTCGAACCATATGACAGACATTAAATCTTTATTCGAAGAGCTTGATGAGACGCAAAGAATTAAGGTGCAACTTGGAAATACAAAAGAGATGCAAGTTGAGGAAAAAGGCACAGTGAAATTCGAATCCAGTTACGGTAAGATAAAACTATTTGATAATGATACAAAAGAGATTATAGTTGACGTTTCTCCAGATGAAGAGACAAGGGTCAACTCTAGTGCATCTCCTAGTGCCTCCACTACAACATAAAATCTGTCAAATTCATCATCTTCAACATCGCTAAATAGCAACTCTTCTCTTGAAGAATTTTCATACGAGACACCTCCAAAGAAGTATAAATCTTTAGCTGGCATATTTGAATCTTTAGCATCACTAAATAGCAACTTTTCTCATGTCAATTTGCTCTTACTATTTCAGACCCTATGAGTTATGAAGAAGCAGCTAAAAAAGAAGTGGAAGAAAGCTATGGTAGAAGAGATGTAGTCCATTGAGAAAGCCATGGTAGAAGAGACGCATTCCATTGAGAAAAATGGGACATGGGATATGGTTAACTTGCCAAACGAAAAGTTCTATGGAGATTTACATGGGACATGCAGCCCATAGCGGTGGCCTGTTTATGAGTTTGATGGAGATTTACAAGAAGAGGTCCATGTAACACAACTAGAGGGATTCATAAAGAAAGACAAAGAAACAAATGTATACAAGTTGAAACAGACATTATACGGGTTAAAGCAGACGTACTTACTAAGGCTTTGTCTAAAGAAAAGTTTGTTAATTCAGACGATTACTTGATATCTGCAACCTTGAATCAAGGGAGAGGGTTGAGATATGATTTAAAGTATTCAAAATTGAGATATGATTTAGAGTAGTTGAGATATGATTCAAAGTATTCAAACTGCCAAGATTTTAGTAGATTTGAATTTATCTAGATTTCCATAATTTACTATTTTTTGTTAATGTATAAGCCTATAAATATTGAAATTGTGTAACTGTTTTTAAGCATTGAGTCAAAAAACAATAATAATACATTGCAACTTTGATCTATTCCTATCTCTTTCAAAATCCCTTTTCCCAACAAAAATTGTCGTGTATATTCTGAACAGATCGCCAATAAAAGGAGTTGCAGATGGTACACTGTATCAAGCTTGGTTTAACAAGATACCAAAGGTTCATCACCTTAAAATCTTCTGGTGTCCTGCTCATGCCAATAATACATATTCACACCTTCCTAAACTTGCTAATAGGAGTGTGAAGACAATTATGTTGGGATATGAAGATGGAACCAAAGCTTGCAGACTATTGGATCCACAAAAGAACAAAATTATGGTGAGTAGGGATGTGTTGTTCGGAGAGGAGAAAAAGTGGTGTTGGCAAGAAATCACAAACGGTGATGATGAACAAAGAGGAAATTTCACCGTTCAAAATTTAGAAAAATAGAGTAGAACAGAGGAGAGGAATATTGAATAAATTGAAGTTGACCCAGATGAAAGCCAAAGGGAAAATTCGTTCTCAACTTTATCAATGCTAGACAGTACCTTAAATGCATCATCATCAAGCTCGTCGACGCCGAAAAAGTTCAGGTCTCTAGAAGATATTTATAGAGAACTGAACGAAGCAGAGGAGGAAGCAATGGGCCTTTGTTTTCTTTCTATAGAGAAGCCAACCTCATATAAGGAAATTGGTAAGAATGAAAACTGAAGGAATGTCATTAAGTCTGAAATTCTCTCCATTGAAAGAACAGAACGTGGGAACTCACAGATTTGCAGAAGAATCATAAAACAATCGACATCAAATGGATTTTCAAATTAAAGAAAAATCCAGATGGAGAAATCATGAAACATAAGACGAGACTCGTGGCAAAGGGATATGCACAATAGTTTGGTGTAGATTACAGTGAAGTATTCGCATCAGTGGCCAGGTTAGAAACAGTGAGATTAATTCTTGCCTATGCAGTCATTAAGAACTTGGAAGTACATCACATGGATGTGAAGACAGCTTTTCTGAATGGCAAGTTAGAAGAGGAGGTGTATGTTGTTCAACCAGAATGATTCGTTGACAAGGAAAATCCAAACATGGTATTAAAACTACGTAAAGCCTTGTATGAATTAAAACAGACTTCGAAGGCCTGGAATTTTAAACTTGATCAATGTTTGCAGTCAGTTGGTTTTGTTAGATGTCGATAGGAATATACTCTCCACAAGAAAATAAATGGAGTTGAAGCAATGATAATTGGCACATATGTGGATGACTTAATCATAGCCGGTTGAAACAAACAAGTTATACCTTAGATCAAAGAAGAGATGCAGCAGAAATTTGAAATGAGCGATCTTGGACTTTTGAGCTATTACTTGGGTATTGAGGTATGACAAAGCAGTGAACCAATCACTTTATGTCAGACCAGATATGCAAGAAAAGTCCTAGAGAAGCTAGGAATGGGGGAGTGCAATCCTTGTTCGATTCCCATTAAACCAAGAATGAAGATGAGCAAACATGGGAATGGAGAACCTGCGGTTGACAAAAACAATTTACAGAAGTGTTATTGGAAGCTTATGCTACTTGGTTAATACCCGGCCCGACATAGCCTACTCACTTGGTGTGATGAGTACATGGAGGCACTAACAACTTCACATCAAACAGTAGTAAAACAAATATTGAGGTATGTGAAAGGTACTTTAAGTTTTGGTTGCATTTATAAGAAGCTATTAAATGTGGAGCTGGTAGGATTTAGCGACAGTAATATGGCTGGGGATATTGATGATAGGAAAGTACAACAGGAGTGTTGTACTATTTGGGAGTAAATCCAATAACCTGGGTAACACAGAAGAAGAATGTGGTGGCTTTGTCGTCATGCGAGACTGAGTATATAACCGCAACTGTTGGAACATGTCAAGGAGTATGGTTAGACAGGATTTTGAGTAACATCAGTCAACTACAAGTAAAACTCAAGCTTAACACAACAAGTCAGCTATAGTGTTGGTGAAAAATCCTGTTTACTATGATCGAAGTAAGCACATTGATATCAGGTTCCATTTTATTCGCTAATGTATGCAAACTGAAGCTATTGAACTGGAATATGTGAACACAGATGAACAGTTGGTGGATGTTCTGACAAAGCCGTTAGGAAGACAATGGTTCCTAGAGTTAAGAGAGAAGATTGGCTTGAAGAAAGTCTATTCAACATAGTTAAATAAGTTTAGAAGAGTGATTGTTGGTTATAAACTTGTTTTTTTTTTATTATTATTATTATTATTTTTTTGTTTATAAGTTTTTGGTTAAAAATAATTGTTAATATTTATTTTATTTATGTTGTTTATTTCTCCATAAAAAAAGACTTGAGATATCGTGACAAGAAGAGTGGAAGTAGTGGAAGAGTGGAACTAGTTTTTAGGGAGTGAAATTAGTTAAAAGAGCGATTGTTGATTTATAGCAAGAAATGTGTTATTTTTTATTATATGAGGAAAATGGTGTCAAGTGAGTAAAACACCACAAAAAGAAGATAAAATTAATTTGTGTGTTGCTCCTTCTCCCTTCTGTTATTTTCTTTTAGATTCTACTTCTAAATAACAGTACCTACAAGTTTGATGAAGGAATCTATTAAAGATCACGTATTTGTTTAGATTGCTGTCAGTTAGTATCTGATTAAATCTCCTTATAATTAGGAGTTGATTTAGTTTTGATTTGATTTAATTTTTTATTTGTTTACTGGTTTGTTACTTTTTTTTTTTTTTTTTTTTTTT